ATGGTAATAATAATAATAATAATAATGATAATGATAATAACAATGATGATGATGGTTTTATAGCACCTTTTCCTAAAGTCCAAAAGCGCTTTACAAGCATATTAATGTTATCTATAAATATATATATATATATATATATATATATTGATATTATTTTTACCTTGCTGTTCCGTAAATGTTACAAGAGCATTGCCATTATTGTTACAGACGAAAACATCTTTTACAATCGCATTATCCGTCAAGGACTGAATATAGGCTGTGACTTTCTCCTTTGATATTGATGGTTTAAGCCCTTTTAGTTGAACTTTACAAGGATCAAAAGAAGGTGATTTATTGTGGAGCTGGCGGCTTTCAAGCTGACCTAATGAGATAAACGGAGAATGAACAAATGTACAAATAAACTGGACAATTAATCAATTAATTATACAGCTTCTCATTAATCCCATATAGATAACTGTCCAATTATTTTCTTAATTGGACAGGTCTTGTTGATATGGGATTAATTAGGCAGCTATATAATTAATAGGTAATGGGATTTCATGCTCCCCAATCAAGAAATAATTAGACTCGAAAAATTCCTCTGACTGCCAATTGGACTCGGCCTACGGCCTCATCCAATTTTGTCAGTCCTCGGAATTTTCCTCGTCCAATTATTTCTTAATTGGACAGCATGGAGTCCTATTACATATAATAAGCAACAACTGAAGAAGCAAATGACTGAACGACTACCAACTGTCTCATTCAGTAGTGATTTTTTTTTTTTGCCCCAAAAATAAGAAATACTAAGGTGCATGCGTAGTGTTAAATTTTCAAAATATGTTTCTACGCGTTCTTTAGGAATGGCATTTTGGTTCCAGCGACTTTACTTCTTACGTAGCACTTTTTTTTATTGACTAACGGTGAAAATACTTTTTTTAAATATGGGTGACGGTATACTTGTGAATATTTGTGAAGCCGGAAATAGAACGATTACTGACACTCATCTTTCTGGTGGAACTAGTAAGACTGGTAAAACTAGTAAATCTGGTAAAACGTATTAAAAAAGGTCTAGATACTGAAACTGTCACAACACGCCGAAGACATTTAACCGGGGATTTCCCTCTGCTGAAAGCAAAGAAAGAAAAAAAAATGCTAATATGATTCTATTTTCAAACTACGTACTTCATCTATCGAAGTCAAAAGCTTCGAAAATCCAAAAGAACAATTTTCTTTTCTTAATTCAGCAAGTGCTATTAATAAAGATGCGCTCTTCAATTCCACCGTGTTTTTCCGAAAGATATACGTAGATAACCAAGTTGAGTGGTCTTACTTTCGTGTTTGTCCAGAGCCATCAATCATTTGGCTTTTAAACGACGAAAAGAAGCCAAGCTGAAATCTTTATAAGCTCGATATTTCTCTAATTTCTCTCATGTGTTAGATTTTTATACTGTATAATTTCACCGTGTTTTTCCGAAATAAATACGTAGGCAACCAAGTTGAGCAGTCTTACCTTCATGTTTGTCCAGAGTCATCATTTGGCTTTCAAACGACGAAAAGAAGTCAAACTAAAATCTTTATAAGCTCGATATTTATCTAATAGGAACCACTAGGAGTAAATTTGATGCTTGAGTTGAAGACCTATAAATAACTAATTTTGCTCTTGACGCGATCAAAACACAGTATAAAGATCACGAACCGGAGCCGAAAAATGCCTTATGAGCGCATTTTGAATTCTCAGAAATTGTGTCATCATGGTCCGGGGACTCCCCGGCCCGATGGCGACGTTCGATTTTTAAATTTAACCGAAGACACTAATTTATAACCTTTTAAGAGGCCGCACGTCTCTGTTTTTGGGTCAAACATGAGTTATGCAGATTACGTCGGCTACACGACGAGACATCTACACCAACGCATCGATGAGCATAAACTAAAGACATCATCAATCGGTAAAAATATTATCCTTTTAAGAAAAATCCAATTACACTAACACAAATTTAGGATAGTCGGTAGTGATTTTCATATCGGGGGGTATCAGTTGTGCATATTTCTTCAATAACATGCTTCGCCTACTAACATTCACGCAATACCCTCCCCCTCCCCCCGATACCAATTTTCGTGGCACTCAATATACATGATCCACAGGGCCTAAGTTACTAGTAACTCTGAGTGACATTTCCTGCTTTCTTTCAGTCTTTAACGGCGTCATTGCCAAAAATTGGTCTTCAGTCACCTCACTATACCTCGCTCTAAAACTTCGCCATTAGACCGAACAGGATAAATAACCGAGAAAAGTTTTAAAGCAAAATATTTAGTGAAAGGTTTTATTTTTATACCCATACTCCCATACAATAATGATCTCTAACGAACAATACACACATAAATCTAGTTTGGGCTGTCTGTGGAAGAACTTGGAGCGCGGATCACGAGATTATCGATCTCTTCGAATTATGTCTGTATCGAAAGTGAGTTAAAGTTAATCATTCCATAATTATTTTATTAGTTTTCCACTTAGCAAATCGAGGTCCCTTTTTATGGTCTGTACTCTTATCGCCGACATATGGCGTCAGCATATGATCCCAACTCAAGTGGAACAACGTACGCAGCGAGCTCGAGTGGTTTCACTGCAAAGTTTGGATCATATGTTGACAACTTTCCACGTCCGAACACAGTACAAACCATATATAGAAAAGGTCGATTTGCTAATTTTACCACAAATAATTCACTAAGAAGCATTTTTCGACGTCTTTTAGTGTTCAAAACAATCAACAGAAAGAGCGCGCGCTTGTTAACGTCAGTTAGTTATTTGTCTGTCCTCTCATCGATCAGCGTGCGAAAAATTATTAATTTGTGGGAAAATGTAAGTTTGCTCAACCGACTAGATCATAAGAGTATACGAGACTAGTCTATGATTGTCTTTGCGTTCCACCCATTCAGTTGCTAGCTTTCAACAAATGCCTTCTTGAATAATCCTTTCGATCGTTGCCTTCAAATAACGATAATTTTCTACCATTATATTACCACGAGAAGGCACACCAAGGCTAAACACCTTCCATTTACCATTCACACGACAGACACTACACATTATTACAGCTCTAGACGTAATTGCGCGATCGAACTCTTCGGTGCAAAGCTGCCTCTCGGGACGACTGACGTCATAGAACTGCAAACGAGGACATTCATAAGCAGCAATGCTTGACGCTCGCCAGCTACTGAGGGTGAAAAACACCTTATTTATCTGAGGAGGCAGAGCATTTAGTACTATTTGCATTCTGTGTCTTCCACGATTAGGATCGCCGTCTGAAATACACCCCGAGTGACTAACTGCACCCCGCCCATGTCTTGATCTGGTCCTGAAGTCTACATACTCTATAAAATCACTGTCGCTGTATAAGAGAGCAGAAGTGTCCAGGTAATCACGACCTGAACTTGGAAAACCCCACGAAAAGTCGAAGATGACACATTGAATGGATGGTGACAGGGTTTGAAGTATCTTGACGAGTTGAACTCGGCCGTTGGCTTGTACACCATAGTCTCCCATGGTCTTGTAACTATGAGACTCGTAACTCTGTGAAGACAAATAAATGGTTGAGGAAT